CATTATATGTTCCTCATTTTGTTTATATACGTCATATATGTTCCTATTTTTATATTGCTCTTTGTGATTCGTTATGTTCCCTTTTTTTTAGCATTCTGATAATTTTTATAAAATTTTTAAAGACAATTTTTATTCAAATTATTGATTATCATATATTATTTGACAATTAATGTGCTCTTTGATGTCTTTGAATGACATAATTTTAATTGTCATTGTGACTCATCATTGTAGATAATATAATAATTCGGTTCAATTTGAATTAAAAAGAAATCTAAGTCTTAAAATGTAATACGCAGATCTGGTGTTTTGATATATTATGATATTTCTGATATACATTCTACAAAGAGTGTTTGCTTTGAAAAAATTCGAAGTTATACATGCGATGATGTAAGTAAATAATAATAACTAAATTAGTAAATAGATGTATAATCTGAATAATACCACGAAATTATTTTTATCATGCGTCCATTTACAGACACACTGTGCGTTTTTTTGTTTTATATAATCCTTCCATTATTATAAAATGCAGACGAGGTTTTTTTCTATAATATAAGTGAAATTTTGCTATCTCATGCTGCTTGTAATATACGAACAATATCCCGCGAAACTTTCAAGATTACAAATAAATCAATCTGTTACGTAAAGTCGAAAATTCTTTGTTATATATTTGGTTAATAATAATAAAAATGATATTAATAATAGTAAAGAAATTAATATATCATATATTAAAATAACCATTTACATATTCTAGTTGAATGATGATTAGTTTTATAAATTGTATACATAACAGAGTGTTTTCCAACAACGTACACATATGACACAGTAACACTGCTCGACATTAAAAAGCTAAATACGAGCGTGTAAAACATGTCAATGTTATCAATTTTTCAAATAGTTATTTGGTATAGCCATACTTATTTTATTTAAATAAAACCATTAAAAACTGTCAATTCAGAAAGATTTATAATTTAAGCCTAAATTAAAATTATAAATCTATTATTGATATGCTAAATATAATCATGAGAATAAGAATGGAAAACTACAATGCATTCTAATATTATATAAACTAAATTGCGTTCCAACAAGTATCTTACACAGTGGAATACAGTATAATTCTGTATTTTAGCTGGAAAACAGCCGTAATGAGTCCTTTAACAAAACGCATACATACTCGATAAACAGTTTACGTTTATTTTGAACGAATTCCATTTCTTTTTCTACTTTTATCTTACTTGTGTATTGGAACTGTAATTCCATTATCATTAATCGCATGCGTAACTTCGTAACTTCTTCATGCGCCGAAATGTAAGAAAAGGGAACATCGTTTAGTTATAATTACTATACACATCACATGCGCGAATTGCGATTTGTCAATGTTTTCCCGCGTGACTAGTATCATCGTTTAAGCACGACGTAGGTACGAGCTCTGCTTCGATTTCGGAATGCAAGCTCCTTCGCATATGACATAACACGCAATATACATAAATGCATTGAGTGTGCATGCGAGCACATAAGTAATTTGCGTTTCACAAATCGCTCTCGCAAATCTACTCTATGTCGACGTAGATCGCGAAACTCGCACTCGCGAATTGTCGTACGCGTCGCGTCCACATTATTGTAATTAATCGATTTATAACGGAATCGCGCCGTCGTGCCCGAGAGGGAGTTTCTAGCTTTCAGTTCCTTCTGTTCCACGAAGCTTAAGCCAAATTACGTTTTCTTCCGTTTGTTTGATAGTTTCCCAAAGAACCGGTTTTGTGGCTGCGGGATCTTTGAATCGAGCTATTGCCGGAAATCTATGAGCGAACGGATTAAAGTTTGTGTCCGACGTTCATTAGATTTCACCGAAGGAACAGGAAGCAGGGAGAGAAAGACGGCTACGACGGCATATATACATAAACATCGGCGTTTCGTCACGTCCGTCAACTTTGCGTCTTCCCAAGACGGGAGCATGTTCCGCATCTTCGTCATGTTGATATCGCGCGGGAATACATTTTAAAATATGTACAAAGATCATTGTCTCATATAGCACACATTACACATACGAAACACACACACACACACACACACACACACACACACACACAAATACGCGACACAAGAGTATCGTTCGTGTAATCTTTCTCTCTCCCTCTTTTCGAGAGGGAAACGCTATTGCTTTTCCATTATATCCTCGGTTTTTTTGACGCAAAGGTATATTGCCGCACATTGATTTTGTATCTTTTCTCTTTTCTCTTTTTTTTTTCGTCTTATCGCAACAAAGTAGGCTATACACATACGTACAACTTACATGTAGAATGTACCGAGAACGAGAGACGAGTCGCTTGTAATTGTAAATCTTGAAAGAAAAGAGGGGAGGTGTGCGCGTGCCGATGCGCGCGCATTTATACGTGCATTTACATGTACACATTTCACGTACACGTATACCCCGAAATCACACTTAAATCATGAATTAGTTAGGTAAGCCACGCGTGAAGCCAGTACAGTCCCACGGCGTGAGAGTGTGCGAAAAGTAAGAGGAAGGTGTACTTTGTGAAATACACTTGAGCGTGTAAAAAGAGAGAGAGAGAGAGAGAGAGAGAGAGAGAAAGGAAGAGAGCGCATGTGTATGTATGTCGATGCATGCACGCGCGTATATGAGTGCATGCGCGGGAAAATGTGGGAGAAAATGCGAATGATTTCGACACGAGCGTGCAGTGGGTTTTAGTATAAATGATCTATTGACAAATGTTGTATATTATTACGAATTATAATTGACACTATTATAATTAATTAATTAATTAATTAATTAATTATTATACCCTAATAATGTGAATTGAATTTAAACGACAAAAAAAAATACACGAAATGATAAGTAATAGGCGGACAAATTTTTAATTGTTAGCGAAGCACACACGAAGCCGGAATTATAGTGTCCCATAGCCCCCACGGGCCTAGGGCCGAAACTCGAAAGTAGCCGATCCGCACGACGAAGGTCGAAAGGTCGAAAGTATACCGAACGCGGCGTAATATTGCGGCGGGGGTCACGCGGAGAGGCGGCGAACGTATGGAGCTTAAAATCCTTGCCGGGAGAAAGTGCATCGCCCAGCCTCGAGCGGCACGACTCGCCCTCCATATAAGGAAAGGACATAAGTCTCTCGACGATCCTCGTTACGATTCTCGTTATCTGTAACGCGTCCAACGCGTCCAACGCGTCCGATCGCGAGGTGCGATCAACGGCGTCTCGCCGCAAAACGAAATCTTTTAACATTCCGCAGTGTCGAACTAGTCACATTCACAGGGAAGCAACTCACTCGTAAGACCATTTACCGATCAACGTTTACGGCCGGTTTTACCGATGATTAACTCTAATCGCTGTACTTCTATCGGTTCCTCCATTCTTTCCACAACTCGGACTTCGGGAAGAGACGGAAAATCTATAGCGAATTAGCTAGCTGGTTCTGCTGAGATTGGTCCCTCGGACGTTGGAACAGACTGACGAAGGTTTAACAGATATCGTTAGATACAAGTATATAGTTTCATTTCTGCGTTGTACAATAGTATTCCTTTATCCAAGAGTCATCCTCTCCTCCCTCCTGCGCGTAAATTTTTTGGAGTACGTATTTCGATTGTTGGATAAATCTCAATTACTCCGTTCGAATAATCGGCGATGCCCTCAAAACAGCGTTAATTCGAAAAAAGCCGCGATGCGAGGCGACGTACAGTCGTATGCGAACTCGGCCGTATCTTCACCGAAAGCTGTTTTAGTTTCGAACAAAAGTCCTACGTCATCGTGCTACGGGGAATATCTCGAGCGAAACACTCTCGTGATCGTTTGTCACCGTATGATAAAAAGATTCATACGAATGTTTTGAATTATAAGTAAAAAGAGACGAATAAATTGCAGATTCTCGGCGAATTCGGTGAAAGTATCATGAATGACAGACGATCGCAAACGGATGCTCTGACGTCGCATATTAATCTGTGAAAGCTGTTTTTCACAGGTTGGTATTCATAGTCGACTTTTATTTCAAGACTGTCTCAAGTAATATCTTAAGATACTAATACGATTCAGTGATTGGTTTATGACATCTTAAGATTGTATTTAGGACGATCTTAAATATAAGAACCGATTACGAATACCGGTTTTTCACATTTTGAACGCATTTCTTTTTTCTGTATATTTCTCTTTCTAGGGTTGACGATTTCGCCCGGATCTATAGATATCCGGATAACTGGATCCAACTTTTCGAATTATCTCATAAATTTTCTAATTAAATTACGGTCTAATTAAATCGGTTTTTCTAATTAAATTACTAGAGGAAAGTTGCCGATACTGACATATTGTAAATTTTATAAAACGTTATCCCCTTATTTCTTAGAAATTAACTATTGCATTTTATTAATACTAATAAAGACATGGTCTGTTTAGTTAATTAAAATTATATTAATATGTAAAAATATATTTAATCTATATTAATATACAGTGTCCCGTAATTCATCCGATAATGCTCGTGGGCAGGAAGAGCGGCTTAAACTGAATCGAAAGGTCCTCTACCATTTTGCAATTTTCGTAATAGTTAACATAGTTAATAATTATATATTATTAAATATTAATTAATAATTATTAAAAATTGTCGAATATTGGTGTTTAATAATTTTTTTTCTCAAATACTATCAACTTTATAGAAAAACAGCAAGAGACAAAAGTTGTTTATTTCCTTTTTATAGAACTCTTAGAATTTTTTCAGAATTTACTAACTTTTTAGTACTGCATTTTCTTATTTTTCTCAACACGAGAAAATTCGGTATTAAAAAATTCAGAAAAAAATTCTCAGAACTTTATGAGAAAAAAATAAACAATTTTTGTCTCTTGCTGTTTTTCTGT